GAACACACTCCCTGGATCAACTCTACTCATCCGTTACACCAATCCGGCTGATGGGCTCATCTCCCACAGACACCTACTCAGGAAACATGAGGACATAATAGGCTTCTAGATTAGTGTCCTGTGGCTGCTAGAAGAAATGACCATAACCTGGTGTCTTACACAACTTGATCACTCACAGTTCTGGAGGTAGGGGGTCAAAACTGTGTCATTGTCTATAAATACATCTGCTAGCAGAGCTAACTCCCTCTAGAGGCTCTAGTGGAGAGTCAGAGACTGCTCTCAGCTTCCTGTGGCTAATAACGGTGCTCCTTTCGTGGCCACATCACTCCAACGACTGCTTCCATAATACATATTCTTCTCTTTCCATTCAAATCTCCCTGTGCCTTTTTCTTATAAAATATGCAGTTTTGGTTTAGGGACCATCAGTAGTTCAGAATATCTCTTAAATTCAAAATACTTACATCAGCAACTTTTTTTTTCTCTTTGTTACAACATGTAATATTATAAATTCTTTGCAGTCCCCATTTTCTCACCACCTAGTCCTATACATGCAACCATTCAGGGGAGCCAAGAGCTAGGAGACAAGAGTTCCCCAAATGGGCCAGCTGGTGGTGTGGTGATCAAGGTGGCTGGGTCCCACAGAGCCATTTGTGCACTTTGAGTCCTAAACCTGGAAGCTTTCAAAACATGCCATGTGGTTGGGTATGAGGGTCTTGAGGAAAAACAATCAATAGACATAAGAATGAAAGGTTATCTATTGAGGATGACATATATGGTATTGTCTTTGACTTGTTCGGCCTGCGCTGTATGCCAATTTTGAAAAACCATGTTGGGTGCTATCAAGATGTACTATGATTGGGACCAGCAGTTAGCGTAATGGCTATGTCACTGGACTCCCATGTAGTCGACCACAGTTCGAATCCCAGACCCAGTGGCTTAAACTCACACTGGGCATGTGTGTGTGTGTGCCCAAGATCCTGAGAGGAGAATGGAGGAGAAGGGATTGTGGCGTGGTCATCCTTCTGGGGGGAGAGTTCATGCTTTCTGTCTCTCTGTCTTCTCTGTCTCTCTGTGTCTTTCTGGCAAACGCACACGCCCTCTCGGAAAAAAAAAAAAAAAAAGAAGAAGATGTATTATGATTCAGTGTAAATAAAAAAGTATGTAACAAAGGGACCAGACAATGGCATAATGGTTATGTTGCTGGACTTTGGCACAGTGGACTGTGGTTTGAGTCCCAAACTTAGCAGCTAAGAGCTAATGGTGGGCGTGTATATGTGTGTGCCCGAGATCCTGAGAGGAAAATGGAGGAGAAGGAATTGTGGTGTGGCCATTCTCCTGGGGAGTGATTTCTCACTTTCTGTCTCTTTATTGATCTTTCTTGTGGTTGTACATATGCTATAGCAAAAATATCTCTAAAAGAAAGAAGAAAAACAAAGAGAAAGTAGAAGAAAAAAGAAGAAAAGTCTGGAATTGCAATACTGATATTAAACAAAATAGACTTCAAGACAAAAATGTTAAGAACAGACACTATATCATAACAAAAAGGCTAATCCACCAAGAAGATGTAACGCCTATAAATATCTACACACCCAACACTGGAGCACCCAAATACATGAAAGTAAGTCTGTTAGATCTAAAGCGAGAAACAGACTGCAACGCCATGAACACTGGGGATCTCAACGCCCCCCCCCCCCCCCTTCGT